CATTTAAAAAAAAAAAACATGCCAAGATATTCTCGGTTAATTGTTAATGATTTAAGTAGGCTCCGGCATAAAGTAATCAAATTTATATACACCATGGCAGCTGGTCAGGGTGGAGTGTCCAGGATATCTAATAAGGTCTTATGTTTTGCCACCACAATAAAGTATCATATTCACATTGTACTACATAAAACGTTCTCAAACCAAGACAACTGAGAAGTTACCTCCTTCCTCTGAACTCCTGCGTAGCATTCTACTGTTGGAACCACTCACTGGATGCTTTACATTTATGGTTTTGTGTATATGCACGCACACGTATTCTTCCTCACCTCATGTCAATTTTGGTACCAAGTCATAAGTGGCTTATGCATGGGCATCATTGCAGTTATTCTTTGACCCTCCCACAGTGACTGAGTAGAAATTCAGCAATGCTTTAATTGTTAGGTGAGGCAATTTCTTTTTCTTGTATCTTCTAAAATAAGCATACATCTTTTCTTAGCCTTGTAAGACCAAAAGGATCAGTAACATTTCACATCCAGAACACATGACTACTGTAAAAGGAGCCACAGAGGCTAAGTCTGCCTTGGACTTGGAAAAGACAGCTGAATAATGACCAGGACTAAGAAACTATTTAACATCCCACTTTCGATAGCAATGGTTTTACAAACCTCACAGTTGTTCTGAGGTAACTCAAATTTGTTCAGTCCAAAGAGGCCGTTCTGCTTCCAAGTGCTTTACTGAAAGCAAAATGCAAACTCTGCCAGTGCACAGGGAAGTCTTAGTGTTTAGACTCGATTGTGGCAAAGCTGCAAACTGGTCTCACAGATCCAAAAACTCTTTTGTCCAATGTTGTGAAATGTAGTTCAGAAAGCTGCAGAGACCTCAGTACAGGACGCATTACCCCTGAGGTCCCAAAGGGGCAGTTTTTAGTACTACAGTCCCATCTGCAGCCACTGTTCCCAACCCTAAGGACATCTACAAACAAGAAGATGCAGCATACAAACTTTAGCAAAAAAGTGCCCCAGTGAGAAATGGGAAGCAGGAATTAAGAGACCCAACAAAAGCACTGCTAGGTTATCCGTTTTTAGAAACATTAATCCCACTCTTAAAGTCAGATAAATCCTTGTGAACATTAAAATAAAACTCAGAGGTCTAATAATTCTAAGAAATTTGCTTTTTCAGGTTTCTATGTTTGATGACTATTTCAACTGATATTGGTACAAGTATGAAAAGGAATGATGTTGACACAATTTTAGAAACAGGAATATGAAACATACCTGACAACCTAACATCTTACTGTATATATAGGAATTGACAGGCATCATGATCAGAGTCAATAGTGTTGATCTGCAAGTCAGGCAATGCCACAATCTGAGACAAAAGAAATCCACAAAATGGCCTCAGAAAAAAACTGTGCATACTTATGGACAGAGGGAGACTGCAAATGATAAAGCAAACAGGACAAAGGTAGATAACTGGTACACTTGGGTAGTCTATGAAAAAGTTCTATGTACTCCTGACCTCAGCTGATCCACCCACCTCGGCCTTTCAAAGTGTTGGGATTACAGGTGTGAGTCACCGCACACAGGAGAGAGCCAATTTCTGCTCTCGTATTATCTCCTTCTCTCTGCTCTTTAAAAAGATTTTCTCTAATGTTCTCTTTCCAGCTTCTCACATAGGATGGAAAAAACTGTTTTCAATTTAGTTGTTTAGATGTGATTTTTAAATGATCTTTATTTTGAAACAATTTCAAACACAGGCAAGTGACAAACAAGAATGCATTAGAGTCAACAGCAAAATGAATGAAGTAGAAGGAAAAATTAGTGAGCTTGAAGACAAGCTATTTGAAAATACACAGGCAGAGGAGACAGAAAAAGGAATAAAAAAGAAGCATGCCTGCAAGATCTAGAAAATACCCTCAAAAGTGCAAAACTAAGAGTTATTAGCCTTAAAGAAGAGGTAGAGAGATCAGGGTAGAAAGTTTACTCAAAGAGTTAATAACAGAAAATGTTTTAAACCTAGAGAGAAGTATCAATATTCAAGTACAATAAAGTTACAGAACACCAAGCAGATTTAAGCTAAGTAAGACTACCTGAAGGCATTTAATAATCAAATTTCCAGTGGTGAACAATAAGTAAAGGATCCAAAAAGCAGTAAGAGAAAGAAACAAATAACATACAATGGAGCTCCAATACATCTGGTAATAGACTTCTCAGCTAAAACTTTGCAGTCCAGGCGAGAGTACCATGACATATGTAAAGTGCTGAAGGAAAAAAACTTTTATGCTAGAAAATTATATCCAACAAAAATATCCTTCAAACATAAAAAAGAAATAAAGGCTTTTTCAGACAAATGAAAGCTGAGTGATTTCAACAATACCAAGCATGTCCTACAAGAAATGCTAAAGGGAGTTCTTCAATATGAAAGAAAAGGATATTAACAAGAAATAAATCATTGAAGGTACCTAATTAAATGGTAAAAGGAAATACACAGACAACTAGAAAATATCATGACACTAATTGTTGTACGTAAACTACTCATATGATGAGCAGGAAGACAAAAACATTAACCCGTCAAAAATAATAAGTACAGAAACCTCTCAAGACATATACAGTATAATAGAGATAGAAAATAAAAAGTTTAAAAAGTGGGGAGATAAAGTGTAGAGTTTTTATTAGTTTTCTCTTTGCTTGTTTGTTTGGCTGTTTTTGCAATTAGAGTTATGTTGTCATCAGCTTAAAATAATGGATTATAAGGTGTTATTTGTGGCTGGGTGCAGTGGCTCGCGCCTGTAATCCCAGCACTTTGGGAGGCCAAGGTGGGTGGATTGCCTGAGATCAGGAGTTAGAGACCAGCCTGACCAACCTAGTGAAATCCTGTCTCTACTAAAAATACAAAAAATTAGCCATGCATGATGGCAGGTGCCTGTAATCTCAGCTACTCGGGAGGCTGAGACAAGAGAATCACTTGAATCCAGGAAGTGGAGGTTGCAGTGAACCGAAATTGAGCCATTGCACTCCAACCCAGGACACCACCTTACCCCAGTTATATTATTGCTTGTATCCAAAAGACAGGCAAAAGCAAATGCTAGCAAGGACATGAAGAAAAGGCAACCCTTGTACAGTGCTGGTGGGAATGTACATTATTAACATAGCCGTTATGGAGAACAGTATGGAGCTTCCTCAAAACACTAAAATAGAGCTACCGAATGATCCAGCAATCTGACTGCTAGACATATACCCAAAAGAGAGGAAATCAGCATATTGAAGCAATATCTTTACTCTTAGGTTTATTGCAGCATAATAGCCAAGATTTGGAAGCAAACTATATGTCCATCAACAGACAAATGAATAAAGAAAATTCATACATATACATGATGGAGTATGATTCTGACATAAAAAAGAATGAGATCCTGTCATTTGCAAGAACTGGAGGACACGGTTGGAACTGGAGGACATTGTTAAGTGAAATAAGCCAGGCACAGAAAGACAAACTTCATATGTTCTTACTCATTTGTGGGCACTAATAATTACAATAATTGAACTCATGGATATAGCAGAATGATGGTTGGGAAAGGTAGAGGAGAGGCAGGGGGAGTGGGGGTGGTTAATGGTACAAAAATATACTTCGATGGAATAAATAATATCTCACATTTGATAGCACAACAGGGTTACTGCAGTCAACAATAATTTATAGGACATTTTCAAATAACTAAAAGTGTATCACTGGAATGCTCTTAACACAAAGAAATAATAAATGAGGTAATTATTATGCATTATATGAATATATGAAAATATTTCATGTGCCCTATACATGTATATATATACTATATGCCCATAAAATTTTTTTAAAATTTAAAAAATTTTAAATGAGAAATATGATAAATCCAGAAAAAATACATCGTATTATAATAACATATGATTTATTTTCACACTATTACAGTAGCAGCAGGTGTCACTTTTCCAGATGGCCTTTCTTTGTTTCTCTGCCATACTCTCTTGTTTGTGCAAAGACCAGTCTAGCACCCAACAAGACCCTACACTGTCAAAGCGAAATAAATGTTTGTTGAATGAAAAAAAAATACACCAGGTAGTTCTTCAAATTTATTTGACCATGGAGCTAATGTTTTACGAGCCTCTGTCTAGAAAGCCTAATTCTCAACAGAACATATTTGGGAAAATATTGGCTTACAATATTAAAAACATAATTCAACAAGTAATTATGAGCATAAATTATATTCTAGCCCTACAGTAATCAATCTATGCTTATAGAAAAGTAGGCTAAAGTTCTAATTTCAAGTAGTTTGTAGGCTTTTGGGAAATAAACAACAGAAAATACGTAGCAAGTCACAGCGGTTTACACAGAATATAAATGAGCATTTGCCTTAGACGAAATAATTATTTAATATTCAATATAGAGTCTGACACATTTATTCAATTCAAGTTTCTGTTTTGGTGACCAGTCACCATTTCATTTTTAAGGATGTAAAATATTTAGCAGGAGAAGAACCCTTTCTTTCAAACTACAGTATTCCCCAGTGAAAGTCAAAAGAAAGAAATGTTATCTCAGTCGACTCATACCTTTAATTTTACTCTTTCCTTCTCTTTCAGTAGTGAATAAAACAACTGCCTGACTAAAGAGGGGGTATCTTATGGTTTAAATGACTAAAGATACACCCTATAATCCCAGCACTTTGGGAGGCCGAGGCAGGCAGATCATGAGTTCAGGAGATTGAGACTATCCTGGCCAACATGGTGAAACCCTGTCTCTACTAAAAATACAAAAAAATTAGCTGGGTGTGGTGGTGGACACCTGTAGTCCCAGCTACTTGGGAGGCTGAGGCAGGAGAATTGCTTAACCCAGGAGGCGGAGGTTGCAGTGAGCCAAGATCCCGCCACTGCCCTACAGCCTAGGCGACAGTGCGAGACTGCATCTCAAAAAAAAAAAAAAAAAAAAAATCCACTAACCAAAATAATGAAAAAGAATCTCTAGAAACAAGTTTCAAACTAAAAATATGTAAATGTTCTGGACTTTTTTATTTCTCAATTTTTTCAGCCACATCATAAATGTTTAGATTGACAAATATGATCCAAATAAAATCAGATAGTGACATAATGATCCCCTTAAAACAAATGTCATTTTGATGCAATTAATTTTTTATTCTTCTTTGGCACCTGCTAAGCTTCTTTCAAATGAAAAGATATTCTCTTGCTGGCATGTTACTGGTGTAATGCCCTCAAATATGTTAATATCACTCAGGATTTTGTTCCTAAGTACATTTTAACTGAGTTATCTCGAGTTGGGATATAAACAAAATGACTTCAACAAATAAATGTTTGAAAGGAAAATTTCTTGAGATGCTTCTTTGATGATGTAAAGTCAAAGGTTTAATTATATTTCCTTCAGCAGTAACCTGAAGATGGGTTTCCATTCTTAAAGAAAAATACAGAAATGCCTATTTCATTGCCATTTATTCTTTTTTTGACCCAATTAAAAAAAAGACAAAGTAACAGTGGGTTCATAAAAGTTATTTTACAAAGGAAAATTGAGTGTCCTTCTGAGGGAAGGCAGATATAAACATACTGGTTTAAACATTTTTAAAAATAATGTGTAGAACATACTTTCCACCTGGTACTTGCCAGAAAGAGAAAAGTCTGACAATTGACCCGATATTGGTGCATTTTCACCTTACTGGTCAACAGCTGTCAGCTCCTGCAGAGTCCTATCAGGCGCCTAAACAACTATACCCCTGCTAAGCCACCTTCAAAACATACCTCCCCAAGTCCCTAGTGATACTAAAGTTAGGAGGAGACATTTAACATGTTTGCAAAATTTCAGGTTTTAATTACAAATATACTTAGGCAAAGTTCTGTGATCTCCTTTCAGCTGTACCCTGGACACATATCTGGCTTATGTCCACTTTGCCCAGTTGTCTCCTTGAAAATATCAGGTCTTTCTGTCTGTATGTCTCAGCTTTTCCAGAAAGGAAGCTGTGGTGAGGCAAGAGACTTCAGTAGAATAATTTGTAAAGATATTAAAATTTTATCTTATTCTTCCTTTTGTGTAAGGCTCAGGATAGAGTGAGAACTTTTCCGCCACTTCCTTAACATTTTTTATGCAAGGTGTTTCATCCTAGAGGTTTCTCTTACAGAGGAGAAATAAGAGTTTGTTTTGTACTGCAAGGCCTGAAAGACATCCCAGAGGAAGCCTCTGAGACGGGGAAGAGGAAGGCCATAGGAGCGCGGCAGGATTGGGAAGAGGCTGATGTTCAAGAGTGGTACAGCTGGCTGGGCGCGGTGGCGCACCCCTGTAATCCAGCTACTGAGGGAGGAGAACCGCTTGAACCCAGGAGGCAGAGGTTGCGGTGAGCCGAGATCGCGCCATTGCACCATTGCGCTCCAGCCCGGGTAACAAGAGCGAAACTCCGTCTCAAAAGAAAAACAAAAAATGGGCCGGGACAGGCGCGGTGGGTCATGCCTGTAATCCCAGCACTTTGGGAGGCCAAAGCAGGTGGATCAGGAGATCAAGAGATGAAGACCATCCTGGCCAACATGGTGAAACCCTGTCTCTGCTAAAAATACAAAATTAGCTGGGCGTGGTGGCACGCGCCTGTAATCCCAGCTACTCGGGAGGCTGAGGCAGGAGAATCGCTTGAACCCGGGAGGTGGAGGTTGCAGCGAGCCGAGATCTCGCCACTGACGACAGAGAGAGACGCCGTCTCAAAAATAAATAAATAAATAAAAATAAAAAATAAAAAAAGGAGTGGTGCAGTCTCCTGCTCCGTAGAAATGCTGAACTCTAATGGGAGCACCAAAACTCTAAAAGGGTCTTTTTGCTATTAATGAAATAAAATTGATGTAATTTCTTTAATGTTTATTCTTCTATTCAAAGTTTGAGGAACTATAAGAACAACATTTGATAATTTCTTTTAGATACTTTTTTTTTTTTTAATCTGAGACTATTTAGTTTAATCGTCTGCCTAAATCAAAATGTACGGGGTAGGTCATTAGGCCTACTCATGTTCCATTAACATCATTTTTTTTTTTTTTAGGAAAAAAAAAAAAAGAAGAAAGA